AATGTTGGATGGCATTTTCCTTCCTCGAGTTGACAATCACTGAAGCTGTACAGTGTTTTCATGAACCGCTGAAAACAGGCTGTTTTTTAAAAAGACATTGTGTGCCTTCAGCGATTCATAAAAAATTCTGCAGCTTCAGCAGTTTCAACATGAATATAATTCCTACACAAATTTTGTTTTATATTAGTAACATATTTAACTCCTTAATATTAGGACACATTGTGAATAACAAGATACGTTTACATTTAAACTGTTTACGTGCCTATTTCATAAAACCACGAAGACATCGGTGATCCGAGCATGAGCTCCTGTTTTCAGGGTCTCCCACTACAGGTGGCACAGAAACCCATAACCACAGTACCACTAAACTATACCACTACAATGAGCTTTATGCGAGGCTTCCTTTGGTAACAATTCAGAAAATATAAAATTAGTATTAAGTGCAGCAGTCCAGATGTTGGGGGATGATACTTGCTATAATCATATATCTATGATTCACTGATTACCAAGAGGCTATCCAATTTCAGACACAGTAGGTCTACATGGCTTGGCTCCTAAGTTTCTAAGGACTTACCTCTTCCATCTGTATGCATTTGATGATATCAGTTGATGATATTTCACATCCTGGGTATTTGTGGGAGGATAGAGTGGCAATGTGTGTGTGTGTGTGTCCTCATGATTGTTTCAATCTGTGGAATAACTTCTCCCATGACCTCAGATTGGGACCTTCCTTGATGGTTTTCTGAAAGGTTTTCAATGTTTGGGACATTGGGGCACATTTGGGGGATAGTTGCTATTAAATAAGGAGGCACCTTTTGCTGTTATTTCATCCTTACATTTAATCTATTTTTATTATTATTTGAGGAATATTTTGTTTTTGTTTCCTATACAGGTAGTCCTCAACTTACAACAGTTCAAAGTTACAGCGGCACTGGAAAAAATGACTTATGATCATTTTTCACACTTACAACCATTGCAACATCCCCATGGTCATGTGTTCAAAATTTAGATTCTTGGCAACTGACTCCTATTTATGATGGTTGCAGTACAGTGCTTCTGTGACCTTCCGACAAGCAGAGTCAAGGGGAAACCAGATTTCACTCACAATATTATGTGAAGCTGACATTAGGAAGGGTTTTAAATGCATACTTTTAGATGGTTTATGCCTAAAATTCATGCTGTCTATGGAACATATAATTCCTTAAAGATAGGAAATATAACAGGATGCTCTACACAGACCCTTTAAAACGGTTATTTATTAACCTTGGTGCTGCCATATTTTATTTTAATATTAGAGCCAACAAAAGCCGAATCTCCAGTGGACTAAAATGTATCTGCTTTGTACACAGAATTCCATGCATACAATATTCCTCATTCAATTAAAGGTACAGATGTGAAACTTATATACTGTATTGATGTAAACAGAATTCTGGTAGCTAAAATTATGATGTTCATAAAATGAGGAAACTAAGTCTATAGCTGTGGTTCTCTTCCAAACGAGACTAGCAATCCTACAAGGAACATTTATAGCATGATGATCTTACATAGCTGAAGCCTCGTTACTTAAATTACTTTGAATTACCATCTAATTAGTTAAATCATACTCATGAAGATTCAGTGAAGATTTTGCTTCTGGGTGCAATTCACCTTTAAAGCCCAGCATGGCATGGGTCTAGGCTACCTGAGGAACTGTTTCACCCCAATGGGGCTGACCTGTCCTACCCATGCCAGCAGAGAGGGCATACTTCAGATCCCACCAGCCAAGGAATTTTGATTGACAGGTCTAGGAGAAGAGCTTTCTCTGTCATGGCTCCTGCCCTCTGGAACATCTTACTCCCTGAGGTGAGATTGTCTCTCACCTTCCTGATGTTTCATAAGAGCCTTAAGACCTGGCTCTACCAGATGGTTTGGCAACCCAATGGGAGAGCTTCATACCGAAGGTGGTTGACTAATTAAAACTTAATCCTTCCTCACTCACTGTGCCCCCAGCTCACTCATTTCCAGTCTTGTGTCAATGATTTTATTTATTAATGATTTTATCTGCTCTGTTCCATAATTGTTGATTTTAATGTTTTTAATGCTTTTAATTTTTATGCTTTTATGTATTTATGCTGTAAGCCGTCCAGAGTCATGGGATACAAGATGGGTGGAAAATCAATTTTGTAAATAAATAAATTAATAAACAAATGAACAAACTTGTGCACTGTACAAGGCTTTTACCTATGTCATGAATAAATTCCCACATCAGAATTCTCATCTTTATAGTTTTGTAAATCAACATTCGTTTGATCAACCATGTAAATATTCACTATCATGGCTGGAGGACTTGTTCAATATAAGAATGAATGGATATATCAATACCTAAAATGCCAGTCTTTGAAATTTACCGGTGGAAAAATAATTTTTCCAGCAACAGCTTATCCAGAAACCTTAATGACCAGAATATTTCATTGATATATTGTTATATCTCAGCAATTTAACCATTATTGGTAAAAAAAAAATCAAGTCTTATACAAGCATTACAAATTTTGCTAGGAACTTGAGCTCTGTTGGAGCTCAACAATACATTTTCATTTGAATGTTGATGAAAAAAAATCCAGAGTTTCACCTGAGTTCTCATACATGAATTATTTTTGAACTGAGTATATACAATGTTGTATATGCATTTGGAAAAGAATTTATTTAAACTAAACAAGAACGACGACTGAAAAGTTGACTAAAAATTAGGATAGAAATGAGCTCTGTGGAAGAAACCGCTTAGCAATTCTTTGATAAAATAATGTTTGGCATATTCTTACAAGATATCACAACCTCTTAAGTTAAGGAAGAACAGTCTTCTAAAAGATGAATACTTAGCAGAAGCACTAAGATATACAGTTTGAGTAGTAAAATGTTTTCTGAGGATATGTGTTAAATATTTCAGAGAATACATTAATGGAGTGGTACAATGAAATATTCAGGATGGATGACACTAATGCATAATCTTCAAAGAGGGATGTCTGAGGAACTTAATAACCATTAATAACTGATTTGACATTCATAAAGAAATAATACTTTATGCTTATTCTAATTTTCCTAAGTGATTGCCAACAGCTGAAAATTGTAAAGATTTTTTTGACTCAAGTTTGACTTCTGATAAATTACAGTTAATCCTGGATTTACAACAGTTCACTTAGTGATTGCTTGAAGTTACAACGACACTGGAAAAAAGTAACTTATGACCATTTTTCACACTTATGACTGTTGCAGCATCCCCATGGTCATATGATTTACATTCGGATGCTTAACAACTGATTCATATTTATGATGGTTGCAGTGTCCTAGGGTCATGCAATCCTCTTTTACAACCTTCTAACAAGCAAAGTCAATGGGGAAACCAGATTCACTAAACAACCGTGTTACTAATTTAACAACTGCAATGATTCACTTAATAAATGTGGCAAGAAAAGTAGTAAAATGGGGCAAAACTCTTTTAACAAATTTCTCATTTAGCAACATAAATTTTTGGATTCAAGTTGAGGACTACCTGTACATGTTGGTTTCTTGACAAAAATGCAGAAATATTATGCCACAATTTTCTGGTGTGTGTGTGTGTGTGTGTGTTTGTGTGTGATGCTACTTGTTTACAACCCAGACTACTCCCAAGCCCAGTCTACTCCACTTTTGTAATGATTTCTCATGTAAATAGTAGATGTGATCAAAGTCAGAAAAAAATAGAGCAGAACATGAAAACAATGGACAATGTGAATGCACAATACAGCATTTAACTCTAAAAAAAACTTTTTGTGTCTGTTTTTTAAGGACTTAAACATAATATGGAATATGTCTTCTTCTTGAATTAATGAATTTGTGCCAGATTAGTCTACTTCCTTACTACTTTCAATCTTAAAGTAACTTTATAATAATATGGTATTTTTTATTGAAAAGTTTTATAAAAATTACAGTATAAACCCCAAAACCCACCCATCCTAACCCCCCCTGCCTCCCCCACTTCCCAGAGCTGAGTACAGGGTTACAAATATAATAATCAAACTCTAACTAACATTAACCAACTATATAAATAACCAAGTCCATAATGCGCTTTAACTCCCCTTTAAGATAGGTATAAACAAATTAAAAATAAACATAATAATATAAACAAGTCGATATTATTAAACAATACAATATCCAAATTGTTAAACAATACTAATACTAAAAATAATAAAACTAATAAAAATTCAACTATAATAAACTATTAATAATAATAATACTCTAAAATTTACTCATAAACTAAATGGAACTTTTTAGTCCCATATTTATTCTGAATATAATCTATCCATCTTCTCCAGACTGAAATGTATCTTTCTTATGAATGATCCTTCAAGTAAGCAGAAATTTTCGCCATTTCTGCTAAATTTGACACTTTAAGTGTCCATTCTTCTATAGTAGGCAAATAATCCTTCTTCCAATATTGCCCTACCAATAACCTTGCAGCTGTTATCAAATTCAACATCAAATTAATTTCTTTAGCATCACAATCTACAATAACACCCAATAAAAATAATTGTGGAGTAAACTTTATCTTTCTCTTAAAAATCTTTTGAATGTTCCACCAAATCTTAATCCAAAAAGCTTTTATATTTCTACAAGTCCACCAGATATGAAAATAAGAAGCATCCAAGCTACCACATCTCCAACATTTTAGCTGTAAATTGGGATACATACAAGACAACTTTTTAGGATCCAGATGCCATGTATAAAACATTTTGTAAAAATTTTCTCTTAAATTTTGGGCCTGGGTAAATTTTACATTTCTAACCCAAATTACCTCCCATATATCCAATGGAATCGGTTCTTGAATATTTTGGGCCCATTTTACCATACAATCTTTAACTAAATCCATTTCCGAATCCAATTCTATTAAAAATAATATGGTATTGATGCTACATTTTTTTCATGTTTTCAAAATACATAATTTACCTATCAGTTACAACAAACCTAAATTGTGCATTAATACTTACCCCTGGAGTGCTTTTTCTCCAAACCAATCTCCTTTTCCTAGAGTACGAAGAAATATAGGCTCTTCCCCAGGTGAATCTTCACGAGTGACATTTACCTAATTAGATGGTAATACCAAGTAAGTTAGTAAGTCAGTGTATCTCTCTCTCTCTCTCTCTCTCTCTCTCTCTCTCTCTCTCTCTCATACAGAATCTCAAGCACACAGAATATTAATAATAATAAGAAGAAATAACCATTTTCCAGCCTCAAGTGGATTAATAATTTACACTGGATTAATAACTTACACTGCAGAATAGCTTCTGGAAACATCACTGAGGTATATTAGAAAAGCATTTAGAGCATGTAGGGGAAATCCCAGATTTAAACAGTTGTTATCTTCCGAAGACTTTAGGGTTCAATATTTGAATACCTACAGCTATTGAAAATACTAAAAACATCTTTTGATGTAAAACATGATCCAGGGATATTAATACAAGATTATTTGCATATAATTAGCTTAAGAAACTACCTGAGTTCTTCTGATCTCATCAACTCCCAAAGAAATTAGAAATTGATTTTGAATGGAACTGAGAGTCCTGCCCTTATTTTGGTAGCTCTTTATTTATTTCCAGAATATAATCAGCTCCAGTCAATTCTCTAAGATGTGCAGGAAAGATCAGCTTTGAGGATGGGAAAAGCTTTTCCCCCAATCAGCAGAACTTCCTAAAATTTAATTTCACTTTCACAGGGGCAGTTTTAAAGGTTTCTGCACATTTTGTTAGCCAAATAAAATTGGTTGTTGCAACTTTCCATGATCCCTGACCAACAAAGCATAACTGTAAGATATCTGTCTGCCATACAAGTCAGAAATTCTATACCCATTGAGAATTTAAATTAAAGTTTTAAATATTTAAGAACTGGTATCAACCAGTAATTTCTTCTCTGAGAAGAATTTATCTTCAGAAGAACTTCACTGAGGTCTTCTACAGTTTAATAAAGCTGGATGGAACTTTCTTCTTCATAATAATAGAAATACTTAGCATAAAGTGCAGGATATCACTGAATTAAGAATTGTCCTACTCATGTGAAAGAATATTATGAGCTCATCTAATATTATGAGCTCGTCTAATATCTAATATTCAGATATTTAAGTAATAGAGATGATGAGTTTGTGTACCTCTTGTTACATCTAGATTGCTTGAGACAAACCATTGTTTTATAAGTAGGTTATTAGTAAGAAGGCTAAGTGTTATTGGGATCAAATATGCTTTAAATCTGAGAATTCTTAAAATAAATGTATAATTGAAACCAGAGGTTCATTTTTAGGTTTGATGGATTACCAGTTGGAGGAAAAAACATGGAATTTGTTTTTGCATATGATAACTACAGAACTACAACATATAGATTTTTGTATGCCCAAAGATGGAATGACTTACAGATTCCCACAATGGAAGAATGGATGATGATGTTATTGGAACCAGATAAATGGCAAAGTTAACTATTCTGATTAAAGAAAAGTTTTTTTCTAGCTTTGGGTCTATGTGGAAACTACTTATTGACTTTTTGACAGAATTTTTTGACAGAATCTTAAAGAAATGCTACATTAATTTGGAATTGGACAATTGGAATTGTTTACGATTATAGAAATACTGTGTATTATTGAATTTTAGATAAAAAGGTTAATGTATTTAAACCTATACAAATATTGAAGTAAATTAATATTTTTCTATTTCTTTTCTTTTATCCTATTCCTTTTGCACCTTCACCTTTCTTTTTTCTTCATAATTGATTTTCTTCTTTTTTATATTTTATCTTTTGTAGAAATTTTAATAAAGTACATTTTAAAAAGATAAGCCATTGTTTATCTGTCAGCAATTCAATGCCAAAGTAAAATATTTACAATCACATAAATGCCATCTACAATCTAACTATTCTTTTCTGAATAGATTTTGTATAGGGATACAAAATGGGAAGGCCAAATTAAGCATATTGCCAAGATGTTTGCATTAACTGCTGGATATTTGTGTATTAAAATATCTGTTCTGATAGATTGTTTGAATTGCATTTATAAAATTTTTCCCCAAGGCCATTTCCACCAGCTCTGGAACATAAATTGCCAGTTTAGGTTGTCAAAAGCTTTTTACACTTCAAGAAATATGTTGGAATATTCATGAGCAGGAAGAGTCATGTGGTAACTCAGTCAGCCAATGTGAAGAAAGTGCTACTGAGTCTGTGCAAAAGAGTATTGAGTTAGGAGCTGGATTTCCAGTCTCTGGTTTGTCTCTATATCTCTCTGTAAGAAGTCTTCATTTCTGCTATGTTGCTGTAAAGAAGAATGTATGGTATTGTAAATATTTTGATATAAATATAAAGAAGTTATTTTGAATCAGCTAAATGCAGTCAACTGTGAGAGCTTCTGATTTATTTTTCACCAATAGAGAAATTAAAATTCTCTAAAAGGTTATGGGCCCAGAGCTTACTAAGGACTGCATTGTAATTTAAAGCTGGAAGAAATTGCCTGTGTTTAGAAAGTATAAGAACAAGGCAGAATTAGCAGAATGGCTGCAATGGAATTTAAGGAAAGCTATGTGCCTCGTTTAGGCAAGAAGAATTACATTGTGTGGGCTGCTAAAATGGAATGTTTGCTCAAAGCAAAAGAGCTGTGGTATATTGTAGAAAATCCACCACAAGTGTTTGCAGCTGCTGATCAGTCATGATCAAGCAATGGCTTATCTCATCTTGAATTTAGATGATGAACAATTTCTAAATGTTGCAAATTTAAAGACTGAAAAGGAGATTTGGTTGAAGTTGAGAGCTGTGCACATGAATGTTTCTATATGCAATATAGTGCAATTATCAAGAAAACTTTACAGGGCCTGTTTGCAACCAGGTGAATCTGTGGAACAGCATTTAAATAAAATGCAAAGTTTATTTTGGGACTTAGAACAACGTGGGATTAAATTTCCTGACTCCCAGAAGGTTTTATTGGTGTTGAACAGTTTAGATCAGTGGTTCTCAACCTGTGGGTCAGGACCCCATTTGGGATTGAACGACCATTTCATGATCGTTCATGAATAGAGTCTTTCTTGAATAGAGTCTAATTCTATTGGCTTTCAAAAGCCAATAGGAATTGTCCAGGCTGTCTCTGCTCTGCTGAGCCCACCAAAAGTCCCATTCTGCAAACGGTGCTACAAGTTGTCTGCAGCGAAGGTGAGCTGTCTGGAAGCTTCCACCCCTCCCTGCTGAGCAACTACTAAAAATGTAAGTAAAAGAGGGCCAGGGGTGGGAGGTGGGAGGCTGGCGGGTGCAGGGAGGGTTGCTGGCGCGCATGGGGCCCGGCGTGTGCCTTACCTCCCTTGGGCTGGGCTGGCCAAAGGATGCATCACAAGTCAAAGAATTTGCTGATAAATTAGGAAAGAAATTTGAATTAAAGAATTTGGGAGAAATAAAAAATTATCTTGGTGTAGAGATACAGAAAAATGAAAAAGGTGGTTATATTCTCAGTCAAAGGAGAAAAATTGAGCAGTTATTGGAGAAATATAATATGAAAGATTGCAATACTGCTCCCATACCCATGAGTGAGGATTTTTATAATAGTTTAAGTGTGGACAAAGGTGAAACCTGTGATCAAGAGATATATCACCTGGCAATAGAGAGTTTGTTATATCTATCACAGTGGTCGAGACCAGACATAGCTTGCACAGTAAGCATTTTGAGTCGTTTTACTGCTGCACCTGCAAAGTTACATTGGATGGCTGTAAAAAGGGTTCTCAGATATTTAAAGGGAACTATAAATTTGGGTCTTCAAATACAGATTACTGAGGAATTGAAATTAAAGTGTTATGTCAATAGTGACTATGCAAATGACATAAACACAAGGAAATCAAATTCTGGGATTATAATATTGTTTGGAGGGACTCTGATTGGATGGAAGTCCAGAAAACAAACAATTGTTGCTATTTCAACAGTTTATTGCTTTATCTGAATTGTGTTCTGAAGTAACATGGTATGTACAGTTGTTGCAAGATTTAAATATTAATGTAAAAGAATCTGTAAAGGTATTTGAAGACAATGTTGCCTGTATAAAAATGGCAACTGGTGACAGGGTGAAGAACAGAAGTAAACATGTAGACATTAAGTATTGTAATGTCAGGGAAGCTGTAAAAGAAAAATTGATTAGTTTACATTATTGTTCTTCTGAGGATAATTTGGCAGACATGATGACTAAACCATTGGGTAATGTTCACTATGGAAAATGTATTAAGTCAATAGGTCTGATGTCTCTTCCTGTCACGAAGGAAGGAGTGTTGGAATATTCATGAGCAGGAAGAGTCATGTGGTAACTCAGTCAGCCAATGTGAAGAAAGTGCTATTGAGTCTGTGCAAAAGAGTATTGAGTTAGGAGCTGGATTTCCAGTCTCTGGTTTGTCTCTGTATCTCTCTGTAAGAAGTCTTCATTTCTGCTATGTTGCTGTAAAGAAGAATGTATGGTATTGTAAATATTTTGATATAAATATAAAGAAGTTATTTTGAATCAGCTAAATGATTTATTTTTCACCAATAGAGAAATTAAAATTCTCTAACAAAATATTAATGCCATCTGTTTCCCTGGGTGGTTTTCAATAGTACTCTAAAACATCCAAAATAATTCTTAAGTTATTTTTATCTGTCTTTTAGGTAGAAAGCCATTTTGATCTGTGTGTATAAATTCAGTCAAGAATTTCTTAATTCTTTCTGCCATTATCAAAGCAAAAAATTTTATAATCCACATTTAATAGCGATATTGGTCTATAGTTTTTTATTTGTGTAAGGTCAGTGTCTTCTTTAGGTATTAAGGTAATATTGGCTTCAATCTATGACTTTGGTATTTTAGCCTCCAAAAGTATTTCATTACATAGCTCTTTCAAAGTTGGGCTTAATACATCTTGTAATGCTATATAAAATTCTGCGGGAAGTCCATATGGACCCGGAGTCTTATCTTTTGTTTTGTCTTTTTATAGCTTAAGTAATCTTCATCACTGATACTTTTCCATTTAATATAGTCTGTTTGCTAAAATGTTATTGGGGGATAACCCCAATGTTGACCCCCAACCCTGTCCTAATCCCAATCCTGACCCTAACCCTACTTTAAATCTTAATCCCCATCCCGATCCTGTTTTATCCCCAACCCTATAAAACTCAATAAAATCTTTTTTTAAAAAAAAATCTGTTCTGGCCTAGTAATAGGTGAAATCTCTTCAGCCTCTATCAGGTTGACTCAGAAATACTTAGCTATCACCCAGCCTCTCAAAAAAAAAAAAAAAACTTGAAAGTCACTTGATTTACTTTTTTCTTTCCTATTTATCTACTCCAGGGGTGTCAAATTCAATTTCATTGAGGGCCGCATTAGCATTGTGGTTTCCCTTGGGGGACTGGTGGTCCAGCCAGGAAGGGTCCGGCCTACTGGGTGGGCATGGATGGAATGGGTGTGGCCTACTGGGTGGGCATGGCCAGCTCTACATCGTTCACATCAAGGGTGTCTGTGGGGGCCTGGGCAGGAGTGGGACAGATCTAAGGGTCTCTGGCAGAAGGGGGTGGGACCAGGGCAAGTGCCAAGGCTTGGTCCACTGGAGGAGCCTCACTGTTCCTCTCAGGCCATGCAGGGGGCTGGATGGTGGTGCAGGCTGTCCGGAGACCAGGGCAGCAGAGGTCAAATGCCCAGCCTGGCCCACAAGCACCCCTGGCACCAAGTTCAGCCTCACTTCCCCAAGGGGGTGCCCAGCTGCACTTATCTCCTCCTCAAGCCTACTGCTGCTGTGCTTGCTCTCCTTAGCCAAGTTGCTCATGATGGGTACGAGCGCAAAGTCAGAGGGAGGTCCATTCCCTCTCCATGGGAGGAGACCCGGCTTTGTATCCAAAGCTTCCTTAGCAATAGGATGGGAGACCCCCAGGATAGGCCAGAAGGAGGGGACAAGGGGATGGTGAAAGGGCAGCAGGGCAGGACTAAGGAAGAATTCCCTCAGACTCTCCCTCTCCTTCTTTCTTTCCTTCCTAAGCACAGAGTGGTAGGAAAATATTTGAGATGAGGAATGGAGAAAAACAGGCAAGAAATGCAGCTGGAGAGGTGTCACCCTTTGTGGGGAATGAAGAAATGCACCATCACTTGGAAGTGGCCAGCACATGGCCCTCACCTACTTCACATATCTGGTTTGGTGGATTCTAGGGGAAGGGATGCCATGAGCAACGTGAGAGTTGATGTTACCTGCGCAATGCCACCCAGCCCCCAGCCTGCCTGATTTCGGCAGGCAGCTAGGTGTTCTCCTCACAGCACCGAGAGGCTGAGCCGAGCAGTGCGAATACAAAAACAAGCATGAGCTGGGGAGGTGTCACCCTTTGTGAGGAATGAAGAAATGCTGGCTACCTGGAAGTAGCCAGCACATGGCCCTCACCTACTTCACATATGTGACTTGGTGGGCTCTGGGAGAGGGGATGCCATGAGCAGCGTGAGAGTCAACATTACCCGCGCAATGCCACCCAGCCCCCGGTCTCGGCAGGCAGCGGGGCGCTTTCCTCACAGTGCCAAGAGGTTGAAGCAGACAGAGGAAGTCCAAAAAGAAGTGTGATGCCGCCCAGCCCCCAGCCTGCCTGGTTTCAGCAGGCAGCAGGGTGCTCTCCTCACAGTGCTGAGAGGTTGAGCCGGGCAGTGCAAAACTTGTCAGCTTTGAACCTTGCTGCCTGCTGAAACTGGGCAGATTTAAATTGGGATGAGGAGAGAAAGACAGATTAGAAGTATCTTGTCAACCCACAATTGTTATTCTGTTTGTTGATAACTTTTGACACAGCCTGAAACCTTTTGGTATGAGTTCAGCAATCTCCTTCTCAATCGTGGTGTTAAAGTCTATTTTTTTCCCAAAATGATCATACTGAGATCTGTAAAAGAATATTCTGGGAGACTGAAAAACCCTAATATTACATTGTTCTTGTTATGATTCCTGATTGATTTTGTACAAAATTGTGGTTTTGCTGGAAAATATCACTGTAGGAAAAGGGTATGTGAAGACACCTTGAACCTTTTATGTATACATGTTGGGGCCAGCAGTGGCCTGTTGATAGAGATGTGGGGGCACAGTAGACATATGTATTAGTTGCAGTTCAATTCCCATATTATTATTCCTGTTCTGCTGTTTGTTACTTTTGAGAATCTGTTGGGCAATTGTCTATATGCAAATATGGAATGCAGTGCCATTATCTAGTACAGGTTATAGGTTATTAATAATTGACTTGAACTTTGAACTGTAGGTAACCACCACCAGTGTCTGCTGTTTTTGTCTTTTAATAGATTCTTCCTGGGAATCATTCTGGCTTTACTAGTTCATCTTTTGATCTTGTTTGGATAATTTGGTCTCCTGAATGACTGATTTAATTCTACCAACTGAGGATCTCTGTCAAGTGGGTAAAACAAATATATTTGTAGCCCACTGCCTGATTTTATTTTATAGATAGATCAAAGCTAAGGAGGATAGTGGAGTGGAAGTTACTGAAGTTTTGATGGAATTTGATTATTTTACCCCAAGATGTCAGATGATTAAATTGTCATTAATGAATCTCAGATAAAGAGGGTTTTCTAGAGAGAAGAGTTGACAAAGTGTTATAACAGAATCAGCCATGAAGAGGTTGGTATATTGTGGCCCATGGCTGGGCAACTGATTTGCAAGGATGTACTAATGACATCTAGTAGACACTGTTGAGATACAACAGATCAATCTAAAACTCATTTGACTATTGTCTATGGAAATTTCAGTTATCCAGGTCATGGCTGTCCCAAAGGTGCTTTTTTTAAAAGGCAACTAGACTTTATTTCTTCCTTGAAGATGTTTTGCTTCTCATTCAAGATGCTTGTTCAGTTCTGACTGAATGGTGTGTATATGTGTGGAATGGAAGGATTTATATGTCTTGCAATCATCTGGTTGTTAGCACTCTCTCTGAGTCATTGAGGACACTTGGGGGTTTATCTGTAACCTCAGGGTCACCTGAAAAAGAGTGCAAATGGGTGTGGAACCTTCTTGGAACTACTGAAAGGATTGTTAATAAGAGATAGATGGTGTCTTATGACTCGCCCTCTGTTGAGAGAAGACTAATCAGTTTTAACATAGATGGCCTCTTTGACCTCCCTTTCAAACCAGTAATCCTCTCAATTTATTCTTATTTTATTTATTTCCAATTTTTAACATATTTTTTATTTTATTAAATATTTATTAACACAAAAATACAAAAGAAAATAGGGAGAAAAAAGGAAAGGGAAAAGTGTGGGACAAAGGGAAAAAAGAAAGAAAAGCCGTTGACTTCCAATATCCTTTGATGCAGTAGAATAAGATAATAACATTAAACATCAACTTTTTACTTTTACATAATAATAAAAACTATGTTATCATCATCAACATTTTAGCCATTGTCTACCCAACTGCAGGATGAAGGCCTCCTCCGCATGTTATATACGATGTTATATATGTTTGACAGCAACAAGATTACATTTGCACAAAAATGGAAGGACACTTTGATTCCTACAATGGATGAATGGTTGCAAAAGATAACAGAGATGGCAAAATTGACTGCTTAGATCAAAGAAAAAAATACAATTACTTTTGTTTCTACTTGGATACTGCTTCTGGACTTTGTGCTTGAGGTAGAAAAAACGAAACTCTCAATTTACACTTAGAAACAGAATGGCTGAGCAGGACCAATATGAACAAACTACCTCATGTGGTAAGCTTTAAATGCTGAGCTGCAAAACACCTTATATGTTGCCATTTTTTCCAAAGGCTTTTATAAGTCTTCTTAACTGCTGCTGTCACCAATGTTGTTCCTACCACACCTCCTATCATACCTCCTGGTGAATGGAAATTAAGGCAAAAGCAGACAACTAGGTGGGAAGATTGTTTTGTAGATTCAGATTACTGAAGTAAAACCATCATTTTCTCTTAATTTGCTTTAACACTTAATTATGGAGCTGAGGTCCAAGGATGAATTCAGAGAATTCCAACAACATCTTTAACTTGCAGTGTTTTTACAGATTTCGCAATTGCATTTTTTTTTTTAAAAAAAACCTACTGAATTTCAAAAGTATTTTGCAACATGTGCTGAGTAGTTAACTTATCAAAACTGATATATGAGGACTAGTTCAATAGTAGATTTCCTGAACATGTTTTTGATAGCATACATATTTATATTTTTATACAGGTTAGGGAGCATTTACAGAATACTGTAATGGATGGAAAAATTAAGCATGCAAATATGCTTTGACAGGTACACAATCATTCCTGTCAAGCAGTGAATAGGCTTAAATAAGCAAACAACTTGGGAAGCTCAATGTTTATCCGAACAGGAAGTCACAACATTTAATCAAATATGAAAGCATATATATATGCTCTTAGTGTTTGCAAAAGAAAAAGCAATGGCTGGTGTCTCATCCCTGTAAGTCATTTTCCTTTGAACTGTGTCAAAAAAGCTTACCTTTCCTTTGCTGATTATGAAGAAAGTATCTCCTCGAGCACCTTGCCTAATAATGTACTCTCCATTTTCATAGTGTGTCTGTGGGGGAGAAAATGCAAAAGACAAAAGGAAGCAAATCAGAATGTGTCACATAAAATGAAACACTTCATTGTTTTGTGAAGAAAATATAGGTAGACGTGTCACAAAGCCTGATAATTCTATGCAAAGTTTAACTCTAACTACAGGTTAGAGTTCAACTTACGACCACAACTGAGCCCAAAATTGCTAAGCGAGACATTTGTTAAGTGAGCTTTACCCCATTTTATGACCTTTCTTGTCATAGTTGTTAACTGAATCAATTGTTAAGTTAGTGACATGGTTGTTAAGGGAATCTGGCCTTCCCATTTACTTTGCTTGTCAGAAGGTCGCAAAAGATGATCACATGACCCTGGGACACGGCAACCGTCATAAATATGAATCAGTTTCTAAGGGTCTGAATTTTTATCCTGTTAACATGGGGATGCTTGTTGTTAAGTGTGAAAAATGGTCATAAGTCACTTTTTTCAGTTCCACTGTAACTTTGAACAGTCACTAAATGAACTTTTTGTAAGTCAAGGCTTACCTGTACATCCAGCAGAAAACTCCTAATAACATATTTTTTTACCTTGACCACAACCATCTTTTGTCAGTTTATAGTACACATTGAGGTGTTTTTTTCCCCTTCCTTAATGTTTTCCTGCAAGTGCAGAATCAGCATTTATTTCTTTTTGATCAATCAAATGTTAATTATTGGATGCAACAGGAATTGATAAACCGCTTATCACCTGAGTCAGACATTGTGGGCTGAGAAAGAGTGATTGTCCTAAAGTCACCTAGCCAACTTTCATGGCTAAAATGGCACTAGAAGTCACAATCTCCTGGTTTCTAGCCTTATGCCTTAACCACTAGGTTTGGCTTTCTATTTTACATTCTGGGGCTATGTTGAAAATTTTCTCATATGAAGTCCTTCCTTCCTTCCTTCCTTCTAGAAAAAATATGTTATGTTACGTTATGTTACAACATTAATTTAAATTTAGGTAGCACAATATGAATGGTTAAAATCATTGGAATTTATATTATGTTACAACCTAAAAGAATTTTTTAATAAAATGATCTACTGTTTATATACGATTCCAGAAAAATGTCTAGAATGTATGAAAGTACTTTAAATTTTTGTTGGAAATGTGAACAATATGAAGATATTTGATCATGCCTGGTGGACTTGTAAAAAGATATTTCTGCATTCAAATATATACAATGATCAAAACAATGTTAAAGTTCACTATTCAGCTGAAACCAGAACTTTTCTTATAGGAATTAGTAGAAAGGCAATCAATAACTACATTTATTAGTAACTGAAAATCCTGTAGGGACATTTTGCTGAAAATAGAGAAAAATGAACCATTGTCAAAAGGATTAGAAGCCACTTTATCTTTTTTTTCTTTCTCACTTATTCTCTCTTATTTTCTTTTTCATTTTTTTAATAGTTAGGGTTCTAATAGCATTTTGTAACTTACTAAAAATTTCTTCCATAAAAATTATCTTTTAAAAAGTAAAGTTGAAATTTTGAATGGGAGGATTAATTAATTAATTCTGCCTTTATTATTTTTTACAAATAACTTCAGGCAGTGAACATATCCAACACACCTTCCTCCTTTTATTTTTCCCACAACAACAACTTGTGATGTGAGCTGGGCTAGGAAACAGTAATTGGACTGACGTCATCCAGCCAGCTTTCATGGTTAAGGTGGGATTAAAACTCACAATCTCCTGCTTTCCAACCAGGAACCTTAACCATTAGACCAAACTGGCTTCATATTATATGGTAAGGTGACCAACCGTCCTCCTTTAGGGAGGACAGTCCTCCTTTTGTGAGTTCTGTTCTCCCTCGAAAAGTGTCCTCCTACATGTCCTCCTTTTCGATATTTGAAGACTAATCTGCAGGGCTTTTTTTCTCATAGAATGCTCAGAACGGTGTTCCGGCACCTTTTTTTGATGGTTTTTTTTCCAACTTTTTCATGAGCTGTGCTACTCCCCCTATTGGCTTTTGAAAGCCAATAGGAATTGCTGCTGAGCATGCCAAAACACCCAACCAGCAAACTTTGCACATGTAAGTTGTCTGCAGTGAAGGCAAATTGGCAAGAACTTTGCACCCCTCCCTGCTACCCAACTACACCATCTCCTAGTTAGTCCCGAAGATACCTGGAGGAGACTGGAGTGGTGACGCCATGGTAACTTTCTCTTGATCTTCGGCCCTACTAGGGCAATAATGGCTGTGGGCGCAAGAGGCAGGGGCGGTGGGGCTGCTGCGGCCGGCTGCCCCCTGTGCTGTGGGAGCTGCAGGGCCTGCTCTACATGGGGCTGTGCAGGGTGGGTGGTGGTGCTGGCGGGGCGGCTGCAAGTGGGGTGTGTTGACGGTGGGCTGCCTCCCCGGGGCCAGAGCCAGCACAGCTGGTGCTTTGGGAGCCATGGGGCCCGCTTTACACGGCGGGGCAGCAGTGCTGGCAGGGCGGCTGCGGGCGGGGGCACAGCATGTAAGCATAATTACAATATAAAATGTTATTGTTACAAATGTTTTTATTATGTATTTATCATATTATAGTGTATTCTGTATTATTGTTGCAGTGAATAAAATGTTTCTTTTATTTATGATATTTTTTTCTTCAATTTATTTGTGTCCTCCTTTTCATTGTAAAAAAGTTGGTCACCTTATATATGGACCTGCCAGAAATACACACATAGGCTGTGGAAGTAAAATAACTTGACTTTTCGACAGCTTCTGATGAACTAGCGTATTTTGATCAGTAACTTAATTATTACTAGAATCTAATGTATCTAATGAATGAGATCCAAACCTGAACTGAAAATTGAACTTAATTCTCATTAATTGTTTCTCATTAAACAGAAATTAAGTATTAAAGAATGTCACAGTTCTGGCCTCATTTCTCCTCAGTAAGAACTTGGAAGGAGATGTGAAAGGAGCACTTACCAGATTTGCAAATGGCATGAAATTAAGTAGGGTAAAAAAAACCCCATAGAAAACAAAATTAAAATTCAAAATGATCTTGAGCAGTGAGCTAAAAATAACAGAAAGAAATTTAGTAGACAGAAATGTAAAGTTGTTCGCTTGGCCAATGTATTTGTATGAAGCACAGACAGGAGATATAGGGATGTTTGGTTTGGTAACGGCATACATGAAATGGATCTTAGAATTGTGGACATGAATTGAGCAGTGAGATATGGGTGAAAAAAGGGCAAATTGATTTTTAAACTGCATCAATATTTGTTTCCCAAAAATTGGAAGTAATTTTCCAATAAATTCTTCATTGGTCAAGCTCTTACCTTAAATACAGTCCTGGGCATCACATTTAAAGTAACGTGTACTGAAACGGATGCAAAGAAGGGAATTGAAAATGAAATTTTATTAAAAGAGAAATATAGAAAAGAAGACTTGTTAGTCTTCTTCAGGTCACTGAATGGATGTTACATAGGAGTATAATAGGGCAGGCCTGGGCGTCCTCTTGTGTAACACCCTTTCTGAGTGGTATCCAATCCCTTCTTAAACTTATTTCTTCAAGGCTGAATATTCCTAGTTCCTTCCATTATTCTTAATAACAATTAGTTTATAGTTCTTTGATCATTTGGATTGTCCTTGTCAGAAACTATTCTTGTTTGTCTGATACCAATAACTGAGCATAGTATTCAAATAAAGGCTGACCCAAGTAGAATACAATGGAAATATTATTTCTTCTAATTTGAGTGCTATATTTCAGTCAATGAAGCCTAAAATTGCATTTGCTGTATTTGCAACCACATCACACTGACTCACGTTCAGTTTGTTCATTGTCAGGATTGTTTTCACAAGTGCCATTGCAAAACTAGGTGTTCCATGTTAAATTTTCAGTCAATTTCTAGCAACAGTATTTTGGATCTTATTGATAGTGCTTTTGCTGATCTTAAAATGCCACAAATTATTCTTGGAACTGTTTGCTACTTTCAGTGATATAATTGCTGTTGTTCAGAAAATGCCACAATTGGTTCAGCAGTGATGATTTCTACATGGGGTTCATTGTTCACCTGTTTCCATTTTTCCATCCTGTTTTGTTCTCTTTCAACTGAAGAAAATCTTCAGGCGGTTTTCTTTGACTATTTTCTGACTGCATCGTATCCAGTATTGGGATTCAGCCAGTTTGCACCAGTTGGGCAGAATCGGTAGCTAATTTTTTGTTGCCCAGGCCCAGAATGGACTTCCGGAAGGGGCATCCACACAAAGAACCGGTTGTTCACATATTTGAATCCCACCACTGATTGTATCTCTCATGTATTTTTCTTACTTCGCATCACTAGGCCTATGAATGTAAATGTCACATGACATCACATCCCTTTCTGGTTAACCAGAAGATATAACTGGTGTTTCTGAATAGTCTTGTGTTAATACACTACATCTTCATTGCTGATTGTTTTAATCGTATGTGCAATAGAATGACCCTTATCCTTCACATTTGTCAAATAAAATATTTGTTGAAACAACTGACTAAAACGAAGCTTTGCTTCTTTGCTATTTCAGAAGAGGTGTAGCAGAGAAATTATATAAATACAAGAAAGCAGAAAAGTATGAGATTTTTATGTCCGTTAATGTTTAACAGTCATTCTTCCTCTGGTGATTTAAAAATTAGAAATAAACTTCTATGATAGATTTATACTCAGCCTTGTTCACTGAGTGGATTATGTGTATGTTGGATTCCAAGCTATTCTCATTTGTATATTTTATTTTTCATCTGGAAACAAAGTAAATTGGTAACTCTGATTAGAGTTTACCTGAAGATATAGCATTTTGTGCCACCATGAGACAAAGTGTTGCAAGGATTTTGGTTTGTATTTCACATTCTTTTTTAACCCATACCAATCCATAATATGGATTGTATGTTCTGCATATGAAAGGAGCATACTATAAAAGGATGGATTCTAGCATGGATATTTTTGGATTCATTCATTTTCATTAAAAAGTTGATTTTTTTTATAGCAATACAGAAGAAAATCCTATAGCTCCATATCATATG